GGTTATGAGTTAATTAAAACTTTCTATATTCCCCCAATTAAATTAATTTAATTAAGGTAGAAAAATAAAGAGTAAAATAAAGGTAACATGGGGTTTTACTTGGTTAATTACCTTAAAATAAAACTTTGGATAAAATGTTTGAAACTTTATAAATACTCAAATAATGCTACCATTACAATTACCATATTTCACAACATTTATCTAATTACTAAAGTAGTATTGTTAATTTTGTTACTTAAATACAATTATAATCTCGCTAATCTTATTAATCTCTTATGCATATTTATTTCTGATTAACATACATAATTAATTAAACATTGATAAGATGAATTACTAAATTTTGTTGTAAATTTCTTTTTAATAAGTAAATAAAATTAACTTGAGCTTAATTGGTTAGAGTATTAGAAGCCTACAATTATTAACTAGGATTGATTAAAGTTTATTGGCATAAAGCTAATTAGATTTGACTAACTTACCTAAAAAAACAATAATAATATAAAGTCATGAAAATACCCTTATAGGTAATGCGGGGCATTACAATTTTCTTCTCTTTCACAGCTAGCAATTGCTCATTAGGGAATGTGTCTAGTATAGTATTCTGTCCTTCCACTGGTCCTTCGATTTCCATTTTGGATAAATGATCAGCCACCCGATTCTCCGACTCCTTCTTATCTTTGATTTATATGTTAAACTCTTGTAGCAGCAGCACCCATCTTATTAGTCTTGGCTTGGCCTCCTTTTTGGCTAGCAAATATTTAATGGCTGCATGGTCTGTGTACACAACTACTTTTGTTCCAAATAGGTACAATCTGAATTTTTCAAAAGCAAAAACCGCTGATAGGAACTCCTTCTTAATGATTGTGTAGTTGAGCTGAGCTTCCACTAAAGTTCTGCTAGCATAGTAGATAGGATGAATAAGCTTGTCTTTCCTCTGTCCCAATATAGCACCTACAACGTAGTCACTGACATCACACATGACTTCAAATGGTTCACTTCAATTTGGTGCTATCATTATGGGGGCTTTTATGAGTGTTTCTTTTAATGTTGAGAATGCCTGCAAACAATCAGAAGAGAAATAAAAAATTTTATCATTTTCCATCAAAGAATGTAAAGGTTTAGAGATTTTAGAAAAATCCTTGATGAATCTTCTGTAAAAACCTGCTTATCCAAGGAAACTCCAAACAACCTTGACTGATGTAGGTGGTGGTAGTTTATCTATAACCTCAAACTTGGCTATGTCTACCTTTATTTCCTTCTTGCACCATAAAGCGACATTTCTCCCAGTTGAAGACTAGGTTAGTGTCCTCACACCTCTTTAATACTTCCTCCAAATTACTCAGACATTTACTAAAGTTTTTCCCAACGACAGAAAAATCATCCATGAATACTTCGACTACTGTTTCAATTAGACCTGAGAAGATTGCCATCATACACCTTTGGAGCATTGCACAATCTAGAAGGCATTCTACTAAATGCAAATGTGCCATATGGGCAAGTAAAAGTAGTCTTTTGCTGGTCTTGAGGGGTGATTGTAATTTGATTGTAACCCCTGTATCCATCAAAGAAGCAGTAATATTCATGTCCAGCTAAGTGATCTAGCATTTGATCGATAAATGGCAATCCAAAGTGGTCTTTCCTTGTTGCCTTGTTCAACTTCCTGTAATTCATGCATATGCACCAACCCGTGACTGTTCTTATTGGAATCAGTTCATTATTGTCATTAGGCACCATTGTAATTCCCTCATTTTTATGCACACACTGAACGGGGCTTACCAAATCATTGTCAGTTATAGGATAAATTATTCGAGCATCAAGCCACTTGATGATTTCCTTCTTTACTACCTCTTTCATGACAGGGTTAAGTCCTCTCTGATGCTCAATTGAGTTATTGCAGCCTTCTTATAAATTAATCTTAAGCATACATTAGCTTGGGCTGATCCCCTTCATGTCTGCAAGTGTCGAGCCAATAGCTTTCTTATGATTCTTCAACATTCCTAGCAGTCAACATTCCTTGTCTTCAGCTAAGTGAGCTGCAATGATTATTGGTAGTGTCTCAACTTCTCCTAAATAAGCATACTTCAGGTGAGTTGGTAGGGCTTTCAACTCCAACTTGGGAGCCTTTTCCACATATGGTTGTCGCGGTGCTTGCTCTCCATCTTTTAATTCTAGTGCTTCAAATGTCTTGTTGAATACTTTCTCTACTTGTGTTCCTCTTTCACTGGTCTGGATCATCTTGCTTCCTTCTCCTCTACTTCAAAGATTATGCGCAACTCATCTTCCAACTGATCTAGTAGCTCCTCAACCTGCATCTCCTTTGTAAGCAACTGCAATCCTTAACATACAACATTCTTCCACATCATTAAGGAACTTAATAGAATTAAAAACATAAAATGTCACCTATTGGTCAATATTTACTCTCGTCGTTAATCCCCATTTTGTACATATATTAAAGCTCTACCAGTGAAGAGGAAAGGCCTTCCCAAAATCATTGGGATTTCCTTGTCAGCTTCATAGTCTAATATGATGAAGTCAGATGGGAAGATGAATTTGTCCACCTACACTAAAACATCTTCTATCTTACCCTCTGGATGTGTGATTAACCTGTCAGCCAACTGTAAGATCACCGTGGTGGGGCGTGCCTTCTCAATTCCCAATTTCTGATATACTGATAGGGGCATCAGGTTTATGCTTGCACCCAAATCACCCGGAGCATGGCCCACATTCTTACGTCCTATAGAAATAGGAATGGTAAAGCTCCCTGTATCTCCCATCTTTTGAGGAAGTTTTCCTATCAAAATGGCACTACACTCTTTGGTAAAGGCCACTGTTTCAAATTCCCCTAGTCTTCTCTTTTTCGCCAAAATACTCTTAAAAAATTTAACGTAGTTGGGCATCTGCTCATGTGCTTCTACCGAAGGTATGTTGTTACGAAATTGCTTCATAACCTCTAAAAAAACAGTCGAACTGTATATCATGATTTCATTTCTCTTTTTGAGCCTCTGAAGGTATGGAGGTGGTGGTTTGTATGACATTGGTAACTTCACCTTTTTCTACTCTAGAGTCTCAATGGATACCTGTTTAGCTGGCTCTGCTTTTGCAGCCCTCTTTCTTCTATTTATCTCGAGTTCAGGTTGCCTTTATATCTCTGACTGTACTGTTGGTCCTTGGTGTAGTTCCTGCTACTGCGATTCTCCAGCATGATTAACTTTATCCTCATCTATAAGCATGTTTTCTGCAATTTCCTTTGCTACATTTTCTAACTACGATTATGCGGGAGGTTCCACTTTGTCTGCTTGTACTTGTGCAGGATATGGTGGCGGTAGTGTTTTTCCACAAAATGAGATCAAGGCTTGACACTGTTATTTCCCTCCCTTTTTAGGATTTTCAGTCACTCAGTAAGGTGCCCTGAGGTCTACTCTTTAGCTCATTCGCCATCTGTCCCATTTGAACTTCAGGATTTCTTAATATAGCAACTTTAATCTAAATTGTTGCATCGTTCTTATCCATATACTATCTCATCATAGCTTTCATGGAATTGGAAGAATTAGTTGTTGGTCTTATACCTTGCTGCTGGTTAGGCATTAGCATTCCTGGTTGTTGAGCTACCTTTTACTGATATTGGGAAGTGTTCTGGTGCACCTGGTTTCTTGATTTCCTCCCTTACTGAAGTTAAGATGCTGCCTTCAATCCATTCTACATAGAGGAAGAACTTTCATCTCATCTCATCCCCACCTAGGATAAGAGCTTCGATAAGGCAACTCATCCTCATCTAGAGAAATAACTTCCCATCATTTGATCATATTTAAGCGAACATGACAGACCCAACTTAAGGGCTGCCGACCTACACTCCAATGGGGGCCACCAAATACAAAAGAAGTATGTCAAACCCCTAAGCGCCCAACTTAGGCCAAGCTTCTTCAAGCTCTTACTTCGAACTCTAAGTGACCAGCTTAGGCCGAGCTTCTCCAAGCTCTTACCTCAAACTCCTAAGCCTCGAGCTTAGGTTGAGCCTCTCTAATCTCTTACATCAAACCCTAAGTGTCCAGCTTAGGTCGAGCTTCTCCAAGCTCTTACATAAAAACCCTAAGCGCCCAGCTTAGGCCGAGCTTCTCCAAGCTTTTACTTCAAAACCCTAACTGCCCAGCTTAGGCCGAGCTTCTCCAAGCTCTTAACTAAAGACCCTAAGTGCCCAGCTTAGGTTAAACTTGTCCAAGCTCTTACCTCATACTCCTAAGCGCCCAGCTTAGGTCGAGCTTGTCCAAGCTCTTACCTTGTACTCCTAAGCACCCAGCTTAGGTCGAGCTCAAAAGAAGTAAGTCAGCACTTAGGCAGATTTTCAAACCCAGGAAAAATTTCTTTGCTAGGTCGAACTCTGACTAGCCAGATGGGGGCCAATGTTTGGGGCTGAAAATCGTACTGACACATGAAAGATAGAGAGAGGTCCAACTTAGTTCTTCCTTGATGGCCGACCTGAAGATCTTCTCTCGTGGTCGACCTAACGGTCTTCCTTGAAGGCTGACCTCATCAAGGTCTTCCCTGAAGGTCGACTTGAAGGTCTCCCCAGGTGGCCGACCTTCAGGGGAGACCTTTAGGTCGATCTAAAGGTCATCCCTAGTGGTCGACCTGAGGATCGACCTCATCAAAGTCTTCCCTGAAGGCCGACCTGAAGGTCTTCCCTTAATATCATTCAAGGGAGGAACAAGCTTCCATACTTAGCCAAATTCCATATGACATGAGTATGAATTGGAATTGTAACGCCCCGCGTTCTCGGACTCGTTTATTTTTGGATAAATGGTGTCCTTGGATTTTTTCCCTAAGTTGATAACTTTAATTCTTGGATCTTGTAACTTTGAAATTCTAATTTTTGGCTAAATTGGAATTAAGTTTAATTTCATTGGATTAAGATAATTTAAGTTCTCGACCTGTGCAGGAGATTTTTAGTTAAATCTTAAATTCAGGGGTTTTAGGATTTTTCTTCATAAATTCTACTTTCCTTTGAATTATTACACTTGGGTTTTAGAGTTTCAGTTAACTATTTTATTTTGGATTGTTGTGGGTTTTATTTGATTTTTAAACTATAATTATTAGGTCATTGTTTTATTTAGTTGGGCCACCTTCAAGAATAAAGGTTTGGCCTTTTAGGGTTTTAAAACAAGTTAAAGAAAATGTTGGAAAAC